CACTAAACTGTAGACTACATAAACTAAATGTTAATATTAATATAAGAAACATATGTAATTATACATTTGTTTACCTAATGTTTGAAAAACTGTTATCCAGTTATAATTTTCCAATAGGTAGGAACCTAAAGATCCAGTTAATAATGTGCCAAGAGCAGATCCTGATGTTAATAAACTAAAGAATGAAGCTCTTTCTGTTTCATGTAACCGTTGACTTATTAAACTGATCATACTAGGAAAATGCATTCCTGTAATATAAAATTTTTATATATAAAGAATAAATGTTTCTTTATAGATTTAAATTATTTAACTTGATAATTTCATAGGAATACCTTGAAATGCTCCATTTATTGTTCTTACAATTGCTACTAATAATACAGATGTATCACTTTTTGAAAAAAGCTCTATAATCTGTGGCATAAAAAATGTTGTCATAGACCATCCAAAAGCAGAGGTCAACAATACCTTTTGCCCTCCAATTCTATCACTAATATAACCACTAGCAACTTGTGTTAATGTGTAACCCCAAAAAAAGCTAGACAGTATTATGCCAGAATCAGGTTTAGACCATTGTTTTTCTTTACTTATAATTGGCATTAATAAAGGAACAGATGTTCTTGTAGCATATATGAGACAAGTACCACACAATAATGATAAAAACCATTTTCGCCTTTCTTTCCTAAAAGTTACTTCATAATTTTAGTGCATATTATTGAATTTACAAAATATTCTGGTATAAAAGTCGAAAAGTCTTAAATTATTTATATATCTTTGTACATAATTACCTTGACCAAGATGAATTTGTTTTTTCATCTTGAGTGAATGCTAAAGACATTTGCATTTGCATTTCTTTTCAAATAATTTCATTCATAAATACCTATTACTGTTTCCATATGTTTGAAATATATAAATTACACGCGTGCACATTTCAAAAATTTTTATTGAAAATTATTAGCGGAAAATTAACCCTTACAATAAATCTGGAATGCCGTGATGTTACTGTGCAGCTACAAATTTACAAGTCAAATCATAAATAATTTTATCAAATTGTTTATTACAAGCAATCATGCATTTGTCGTATAATAACACGTTATTATAAATTAAACCAACACAATTAATTGCCTTTTTTTTTAACGATACTGTTATGCATGTAGTGTAGCAGTATATATATTTTCATTTATTTCAATTGCTTAAGTTTATTTACTTCAACATTAATTACATGTTTTTCATATAGAAGTCGATTAAAATTGCATCATTCGAAAACTTTATGCAGTAAATATAGACAATAATATGAAGTTGTCCCTTTAAAAATACACATATACTAGGTGTTCTAAAGTTAACAAACAGACTGTATCTATTCTATGAGTAGAAATAAGCAAACAGCTTTACATAGTATGAATTCTTTATTAAAAAATTGTAATAAAAATATTAAACATGAAGGTAATAGCATGATCACTGCTAATACATATGATATAGTTTTAAACTATTGTATTTATCGCATTGTAATATTCTTACAATATATGCGTATATATACATATGTCTCCTATTTTTATATTATATAATTGTGTATAATTGTATATTATAATGCAATAAAAACAATAGTTTAAAACGAAGAACAATAGTTTCAACACTGATTAAATTAAAGCATAAATCATAAGTGTGTGTTTCCATGACTAATGTATGTACATATGCTTATGTTATAACATTCAATGCTTAATATAGAAGCTTAATTGCATAATATGAAAAACAATAATTATATGATCTAATAATAGAAAGCGATAAGATAAGTAAGCACCAGATTAATAAGGTTGTGATAATATGTTACAGTTTTATGAATTTTATATTGAAGATAGCAAATATAAAATATATAAAATTATGATTTTTGTCAGATGAAATAAGAATAAAAAATTAAAATATCAGTTACAATTTGTGTAATTTATTACAAATTATATAAAAATTTCTTTTTTTTTTAGCAAAATAATGTTACATACGCGCATGAGCATGTATACAGACGATAAACGTCAGCAGTTGCGTCCAGACATCAGGATTGGAATAAAAGTAATTCAGACGTGTAATAGGTCCATATTTCATTAGGTCATTAATAAAATGGCACAGACTACAAGACTTATTAAATTTTCATCAGCGTGTAATTTATTTAAAAATAACAGCAATGTTTCTTTATATCAAATTAGATCAATGAGGTAAAATTTATATTTAGTAATTATATGACCTATTTAACCTTTGTATTCTAGAATATCAAATACATAAAAACTAAATTAAAATTAATAATATTTATAGAAATGAGTATACTATGTGAGTAGGTAATTCTTCAAAGTTACTTTCAAAATATTTTTAATATGAAATTTTATAGCATAAATGTTTAAAAAAATTCAAAATATTAAAATTATTTTAACAAGTTGTTAATGAGAAAACAAATTACTGAACATAAAAATACTATTTCACTATTAACTTATATTTTTATTTTATTATGAAGTTTATTTTTCATAAGTTAATTACTATTGAAATACATATTTTTTGTTATAGTTCAGTGTGGTCTCATGTAGAAATGGGACCACCAGATGCAATTTTAGGCATTACAGAAGCATATAAAAAGGATCAAAATCCAAAAAAAGTTAATTTGGGAGTTGGTGCTTATCGAGATGATAATGGTAAACCATTTGTTTTACCAAGTGTAAGAAAGGTATATATTATAGATATCTAAGAGTTATGTTCATTAAGATTATTCAGTTATATTTTTATTTATTGATATATTATAACAGAATGAAAATGCATTCTAGGCAGAAGAGAAAATTAGAATTAAAGAAATGGATAAAGAATATTCACCAATAGCAGGGAATGCAGAATTTTGTAAGCATAGTATTACATTGGCACTTGGTGATTGTAATGATGCCCTTGAAAATGGTTTGGTATGTA